AGGTAATGCATCAAAAACTAATCATTTCTACTTTCTCTGCCAAGGTTCACTGAATCTTTTAACCTACATTGACTATGATAAAGTTAATTTTCCATATTAAAGTAATATTCCAATTAGCCTTTTAAAAATTATACTATGGGGAAAAAATGAACACAAGGAAGTCAAAATTAAGGGTGCCATACGCAAATAACTTGGCAGGTTTTCTTAGCAAAAAAAATATATATATATATTATATATACGAAGCACATTTCTCTAAGTTATTTAAGTTGGTATATTAAACCAATTTATATCTAATCCAGTGAAATTTATGGCACATATGTTAATTAGGGTAAAATAATTGATACATTAAGAAACATTTCACTCTGTAAAAACTCAATAATTGTATCATATTAGATTTTTTCGTTCATCTTTTAGTTTTTATGAACTTATGTTTATGCCACAAAAATATCATATTGATATTAGAAAATGTAAAATACATACATTTGGATTAAGTTATATCTCCAGTCTCTCTGTCAAATAAAGGGTGCCAGACAGTTCACCATCTGCATCTATCTCTTAATTGATAATAACTAAAGGATTCTGAATTTTATGTAACCATCAAGAGAATATGCTGAAAATAATTGGCTTTTACACTACAGTAATTGAACTTCAGGTCTCAGAGAAATACGTTAAATGTATTTTGCTTTCCCGTTGGCCTCTTTATCTTCTATTTTTTTATCCATTTGTTTTGCCCAATCGGGGTTTATTTATACCTTTTTAGTAAGCTACAACTCTAACAACTGTTTATTTTAAATTAATTTTTTTTATTTCACAGGTAAAATTATATGCATTTACACGTACAACATGATGTTGTACGTTTTGAAATGTATATGCATTGTGAAATGACTAGCGTTACCTCACATAATTACTATTTTTGTGGTAAGAACACTTTACATCCACTCTTAGCATTTTTATGACTACCTTATATTATTAACTACAGTTACCACGCTGTACAGTAAATCTCCTGAACTTATTCTTTCTAACTGAAATTTTGTGTCCTTTGACCAACATCTCCCCAACCACCTCAGGCCCCGATAACCACAATTCTAAGGAGACTTCTCAAAAAATTAAAAAAAAAACTACCTTATGATCCAGCAATCCCATTAATGGGAATACATCCAAAAGAAATGAAAACAGTATGACGAAGAGGTGTCTCCATTCCCCTACATATTGCAGTGCTAATCACAATAGCCAATGTACAGAATCAATCTAAAGAATGTTTTTAATGACAAATAACCAGGGATACATATTAACCTAATATGCTACACCTTACTAGGCAAGTTGACCTTGCATAAAAGCAAATTTATGAGAATATTAGCAGTAAATAATTCCTAACATCTCGGAGACCGTTTTTAAAACAATATATTTGTTGACTCATTCAAGATGTATTTACTGAGCTACTACTGTTCTATGCCAAGTCATATTCTAGGTCCTACCCATGCATCATAAACCAAACTGAAAAAAAAATTAACTCTTGTAGATTTTCAAAGTTACTATGGTAGAGAGATGAAGAGACGAACAGTCAGAAAAAAAATATGTAGTCATTCCTTACTTAACGAGAGGGATATGTTGTGAGAAATGCACCATTAGGTATTTTGTCATTGAGCGAACATCATAGAGTATACGTACACAAACCTAGATGATATATGCTCACTATACATGTAGTCTAGATGGGATGGCCTGTTGCTCCTAAGCTCCAAACTAGTATAGCATGTTACTGCACTGAACACTGTAGGCAACGGTAACACAATGGTAAATATTCGTGTATTGAAACACAGTATAAAAATATGGTAATACAAGCTTATGAAACCATCATCTTAAATGCAATTCATCGTTGACTGAAATTTCATTATTTGGTACATAGCTAGGTTAGATAATGATAAGTACTGTGAAGAAAAATATAGCATTACTCACACATTAAGAAAACAGATCAATCTACTAAATATCAGGTCATCCAAAAATTATTTTTTAAACCAATATAATAGTTACTCCTGAAAATAGGTTCAAGAATTTTTTTAAATCATGATAAATGTCATCTCCTACCCCTCTTCATTCCCGCCTCCCTCTCAATCCATTCTTCAAAGAGCAGCTAGAAGAATCAGATCCTCTAGAGGCTTCTCATGATCCCCCTCACTCAGACCCCTCAGCACAAACTGACCCATGCTGGCCTCCAGCTTCATCATCCTCTGTGTTTCTCTAAACTCACTATATTTGAGCCATAATAACGTTTTGTTTTTTTAAGTCTGTCAAACATATAAAGTGTCTTCCTGCCTTAGGTCTTCACACACATATTGTTCCCACCTTGGGCCCATCCCCACCTCCCTAATCCCAACCCACCTCTTGCTCATTTTTCAATACCTAAGTATGATTTCTGCATGGAAACCAATACTCGATGAGGTTCCCCTGTTTTCACTCTTCAAGGGTCTTTACCTATCCTTTGGGAATTTAGTACTATTTAAATTATGTCAACACTTATGTTATACTCTGTATATTAGTCAAATATACCTCATCAGATTGCAAGCTCTGTGGGATGAGGTGGGAGGAGGGGTGGAGGCAGTTGTTTCCTTGGCCAGCGTACTTTCACTGCTCTGCACCCTGCCCAGCATAGACTAGCATTTAGAAAATTGTTCCTGAGAGAATTAAATAATAAAATTTCATCAAAAGTGTCTTCAGTTTACAACATGTAGTTTTATGCAACACATGGCAAAGTGGGTTCTGGTGGGAGCTGTGAATATCCTTCAAACCATTGGAATGAGCAAATGATTCTAGTTGAATCTGTGTTGTTTAATCGGTGGGGCTCTTGCTCCAGACTCTGCTGGAAGTCTGCTGCTCACTTGTAAGCTCATAGTCCCAATGACAGATGGTTTTTAATCTTTGCTATTTGGCTTCCAGGATGGGTATGTCTTACTGACTCATATATTTTCTCTAACATGTAGAATCTGATTCTGATGGCCATTCCCTCTGAGGAATAAGATACTTTCTGGGACTTGTAGCCATGGGAGAAAGGTTTAAAACACTTTCAGAGAATTGAGGAGAAGCCACTTTATGCTTGGAATCATTGTTGAAAAAAATTCAGTTATGAAAAACCACAAATGTGTAAACCATTAATAATCCCAGATAGCCATAGCTCAGGGAATTATTGTTCAGACACCTCATGCTAAGTATTCTAAAGAACACACACACATGGCAAACACAGGGTTGGTGATGTTTTCTACATCTTTCAGAGTGAGAAATTAGAATTATTTTGAGGATGAGAAGAATCATTTTACAATGACTAGCATATCCCAAATTTCCACCATGACACAAATTTATAAAAATATTTTACTTTATTTCCATATATGTCACCCCAATTTATTCAGAGGCAAGAACCTATCTTTTCTATTTTTTATCCCCAAGACCTGTCCAGAAAGAAAAAAAAGTTTAAAATAGACAGTCAATTAATATTTATTAAATAAATCACAGATAGTAAAGAAGTATTAGAAGCAGCCTGAGCTGAAGCTAACTCTCTCTTGTCTCTATCAGCCAGGCAAATTATAGCTCAGAAGCCACTCAGGGAGTAGAACTCTCTTGTGAAGCATCTAGTCCTTTAAACTAAGGCCTTAAGTTTTCCTGAACCCTGTAAATTCCCAGATTCTTCTATATGGATTTATGCAAGAATGATTCCGATCCACTGGTTGGCAAAGAGAACGGTTTAATAACAGCAGAGGAAATATAAAATTCTATTCAGAATACAATGAAAGCTGTTGGGGATTATGTATTCATTTATCTTATAGTACAAAAACGCAAATCTTCAAATAACAGAGTGTTGCCATGTCAGCTTCCTCTGGAGAGTTGAAAAATAAACTGTGAAGACAGCAGAATGACGTGATTTGTATTGAAGTCACTGGAATTGACAAAACCTAAATTCTTTTTTGTGATTTATTTATTTCTGTTAACAAATGACAAATTTTATAAACTAGTGGTATACAATATGATTTTAATGTATGTTCTGCTATGCAAAGCCTCAGTTCTTAATTGATCTACAGGATTCAGCTGATAATGTGAATTCTGTCTACCTGTGTTTTTACATTTGTGAAAGAATTATGCTACTTTATTACTCAGTCTTTTTGAGATTCTATAATCTAAAATTATTACTTTCAACCATCAAATATAAGGTAGTAGAAATATGGGGCAAAAGTATTTGCAGTTTTATATCAAAAATTAGATAAATGCAATAGGGAGTGCATTAAAGAGAATAGAAAGAATTTTTTTTAAGGAACAGGGAAAAAAGAAGAGAAAAGAATGTAAAATAAAGGAGAGAGGAAGGGAGGCTGAAAGGGCAAAGAAAGTGAGGAAAGAAGGGAAATATTAAAGTATTTGATAGAGCTTCCCTACCACTCAGATGCTTTTGTATGTGCAGTATTTCAAAGTTCTTCCTAGGTAAATAGCAATGTCTTTCCTTTTTATTAGCACTGCTGCAGCTGCTGTTGCTCACAAAGAGATCCACAAATCAAAATAGACTCAGTTAGCTTTTCAATAATTCTGAAAAGGTAGGAGAACATTGTCAGAGAAGGATAGCACTCCAGTATCATAACATGGAGTCTTGTTAGCAAAACAAAGTGTGAATTGCTTAGATAATTCCCTGCTGTTGGTAATTCCACTGGGTGCCTTCTGTGGCAGCACAGGCTATTTCTTCTCTATAGACCAATGCCATTGAACAGGAGATGTCAGAATAATATGAAAAAGTTGCTCTTTTGAAATGTTTAGTCTTTTAGATTTTTTTAAAATGTCAGCATGATTCATACCTATTGGTTCTTAGCCTGGAGCACCCAGCACACCAGGAACTGAGGAAGCTAGACCAGGAGGTGAATAATGAATGGGCTGCATAAGCAGAAGTCTATACTCAGTCAATAGTAAAGGCATGTGCAGAATTGCAGGCCAGCATTTTCAGAGATTCTTTCTATTATTCTCTCTCTCTCAAGGGAAAACAGGAAAACTAGCAAGAGCTAGCAAGAACTAGCAAGAGCTTGAACAAACGCCTGGACTCAGATTGGAAAACTGCTCATTTGTCCACCGCTTCATTCCTGGAAATCGCACTGGAACTGCCTGATTAAGGTATTTGGAAAAAACAAATTTTGGCACATTTTGTTGATTATTGACCTCCTTTATTCCTCCATATCTTTTGATATGTGGTGGCAGGGTGGAGGGGGTAGTATTTGTGCCAAAGATCGGAAGATTGAAGAAATGTATCTCTTTCAAAATTTTGTGATATTAAGGGGAAATTAGTATTTGTCACATCTTCTGAAATTATTACTAGTATTAATGTTTTTGAAATGCTGGTTTTGTTGGTGGGCCACTGGCTCCTTGTATAACATGTTTGCTTTCTCCCACTGTCATTTTGTACTCCATCAAATCCAAAGTTGTCATGGTTCATTATCTGTAGATGATCTTGAGCAGCCTTGCATTCTAAAAGAATATGCCATGGCATCTGCCTCTGTGCTTTTGTGGCCTGATGCACAGATGATATTTTAGCAAGACTATTGGGTGAGGGGCTAGAGGAGAGAGCAGAATTTGTCTCAGACCAATGTTTCTTTGTACCATGCTGTGTCTCATTCTTTCATACATGCCTAATTCGGCAGTGAAGTACATATATCACACTGTGACTATTACATACATTAGAGTACATAATTGGGGTTGTAAAGTATCTGTTGAATGTCTTAACTAATGAATTCCATCAAATTCAATTATCATTCTTAGACTCTTCATTAACCAATCAAATTACTCTTTTGGTATAAGTCATTTCTAAGACACATTTATTAGACATACACACAATTCTATGAAGTAAATGTGAAGTGATTAGATTATCTCATGATTCTTACTTGGAGTCCTGTGCTACTGAAGTTTGGATTTCTAAAGAATAGCCTTTCACATTGCTTCCATTGTATATAGGAGAAGTAACAGTACAGTGTGAAGCTCTGTCCTTAAGGCTATTTTACTACTATATCTTAAACTTTTTCTTTTCCCTGAGGGGGTTTGCTACAGTGAGTCACCAATACAAAAATACATAGAAATATACCAACCATATATGTCTATAAAATTAACCTAATTATTAAGTAAATATGTCTATAGACTTGTGTCATACTGAATCATAATGTTCTTCACCTTTTAGGAATAAATTATATCAGTGTTAGAACTTTCTCCTATCTCTTGCAGTAAGATACCACAGTGTAGGATCACAGTTGTTATTGTCAAAACTTTTTTTTCAAATTATTATTTCTTTACATGGCTTTCTTTTGAAACCAAGTAGTTCTGGAAATGCATATACCCAGTATTGATAGTACTGTAGTTTTCTAGGAAACAATTGCCACATTACTAATTTACATTGGATATTTCAATCATTTTACAAGGAAGGGCAGGTGCCTAATGTCCTTGTAGTATGATTCTTACCATACAGATCTTAAAATATTTCCTCTTTGTTCTCTTCTACTTTAATGTCTTTTAGGAACATTTGCATCTTCTGTCCTACAACTATTTTGAGAAACATCTCAAAATGTGATCTAAAGCTAACCTACAAAAATATGTGCCTGGGTTTCATGCCAAACTTAAGTCAGAATCTTTGGGAGTAGGCCCTAGGACTAGAATTTAAAATATACTATTAGGTGATTGTAATGTACTCCAAAGTTTAAGAAGCCCTGCTTTACAAAATGAGAGCAAGGAAACAACTGATAGAAAAGCATTGTAAAACTACAGACATATAACTGATAGCAAAAATAAAAATATCAAAATCAAGTTAAATTTGGATTTTAACTTTTTTCTACATGTTTTCATTTCTTGGGGCTGCACTAAGCATTCTAGGATGTTTATTCCACCTTTAATATAAGTCTTAAATATTTTAAATAAAGATTTTAATATTTAGTGTTAATTAAGGATATTAAGGATATGGATGTCTCTTATTTAAAAGCTTTTCCAAGTTGCCTATCGATGTTTGATATTTATAATGGTAAAAGGTATTAAATTCACAGTTTGCATAATTCATTATTATTTTCATATTTGAATCTTTAGTTTTACAAAGCTTTGTAATAGCAAGTCTTTTAATATTTTATATATCTAATAAACACCACTTTTTAAAGAATTTCAATCTATGTTTTTGTTATGGTTTTCATTGTGATGAATTACCTGGGTGTCTTACTTTCAAAAGATGCTTTATTAATACAACTAAATTGAATTATTTGAGCTTAGATTTGAATATTTCCATGTTATCTAATGTTAGTAAGATGATTTTCTCAGTGCAACAAGTAAGACATTGTTTGCCAATTTAATATACCAAACTCTAAAGTAAGTATATACTCAAATGAGAGTTAGGGGACAAAGAACTGTCTTCTGAACCATGAAAAGACAGAATGTCATGATTACCTCAGGCACTGAAAGACAGCAAATATCAACATTAGTTCTAGTAGAAAGACTACAGAGAATGTTTGACCCATAAAATTAATTTTTGCTCCCTACATAGCCAACTCCATGGAGACAAAGTCTAAAAAGGGAAAATGGTCAAAATCTTAGGTTTGTAGGTTAACTTACTTTGTAAACTAAATGTGTCCTGAAAAGACTGGAATAATTTAAATTCTCTCCATGTCCATAAGAATCATTTTATAAATCAAAAAGTCTTTTGTTTTGAGCTAGTTTTAAGGTTGTATTTAGATTATCGACAGGCACTACTGTAATTGGGTTGTATTTCAAAAGTTTTATTTAGAAGTTAAATATTTGGAACTCAAAACTTATTTTCAAATAGAGAGAATACTATACATGATGTTTCATGCCCAGATTTAATATTATGAAATCCACAAAATTATAGTAAAAGTACATAATTTATAAAACTAGAGAACTGAAGTGAAGAATCATTGAAAACAAAACTATATGATCCTCAAAATTAAGTCATTTAGATCAAAAATATTAAATTATACATTTACTTTGAATATCAATGCTAAAGGAAAGTAAATTTGCTTATCAATAAATGAGAAATTAAAAGAGATGATAGGATATTTTTCTAAAACACTGAGAAAGCGGGGTTCTAGCATAGCAGTATTCTTCCCCTGAGCAGGGGAAAATGAGATGGAGGGGAGAGATGCCAGGTAGACTTAGAGAATCAAAAGCAAAAGGATCTCAAGTATGAGTGGCCAGCAGCATCGAACTAGCTATTAAATAGAAAATTTGCTTGTAAATGGTAAGTTTAAAATCCAAAAGAACAGGTGTATTCAATTCTTTTGTTGTTGTTGTTTGTTTGCGGCGAAATTTCACTTTTGTTGCCCAAGCTGGAGTGCAATGGCGTGATCCTGACTCACTGCAACCCCCGCCTCCCAGGTTCAAGTTATTCTGCTTCAGCCTCCCAAGTAGCTGGGATTACAGACATGTGCCACCATGCCCAGCTAATTTTGTCTTTTTTGTAGAGACGGGGTTTCTCCATGTTGACCAGGCTGGTCTCAAACTCCTGACCTCAGGTGATCCACCACCTTGGCCTCCTAAAAGGCTAAGATTACGGGCGTGAGCCACCACGACCAGCCTCAATTCTTTAAAAATGAGTAAATAACACATCCATTTAGAAAGCAGCTGTGTAGAGGAATGGTTAAAGAGAGAAAGTGAGCATGCATGCGAATTCAGTGAGTGCCAATTAATGGAGTGAAGGGAGAGCTAATGAACCTCTGGCCTTCTATCAGTGGCTTTTTCTCTGAGTGGATTAACTCCTTACTCAACTATTTAGTGAATTCCACTTTCTAAGGAACTCTACCCTTTGTCTCTTTCTAAAAATTCTGCATCAAGTGAACCAAATTTACCAATTTGCTGCCTTTGTGAGCACAGTTGTTCATTTAATTTATGAAATATTTATTGAATACCTACTATGTAGTCAGCACTTTGCAAATTTTGTTACTTTTAGCCCAGATGTTAAGACACAAAGAATATTTTGTTGTATTTGAATTTTAGTATTTTGTATTTTACCATTTCTCTTTATTTTTTGTTTCTAAAATTTGGACAGTTGAAGGAAACAGAATGGGGGGCTAGCAGTGTGGATGACACAGAGAAGAAGGCCAAAAAAGGAAGTACCTGTCTTATTTCTCTATTCTTCAGGTTTTAAGGAGGTCTTAGCAGTGCTAAATAGAGCCCCCATCACTTCCACTTAACCTTAAAAACAATTGTTAGAGATGGAAAGACAAAGAGAACTATTTGCTCATGATAAAAATTCTCCATTCAAAGTGAAGAAAAATTAATACATTCAAAATGAAGACCTGCAATATAGAGCACTTTTTGAGCTGATGTATCTTACTACTAGGCTAATCTATGTTTAAGAAGCAAGAACTCAGAAAGGCATCCTGGAAAAATGGCCCGTAATTCTTCATCAACTGTAATTTTCAGTAAAATAAAAATCTAAATCTCCATTACTAGTTAATTTGAAGTATGGAAGACCATACTTCCAAAATTCCTTCTAACTCTAGAAATTCTACTGGACTAGAAATTCTATTGGAGAGACAGATGAATAAGACTGGAAAAAAAGAATGGCTCATCTTTTATTGAAGAAAGATGTTTAGAGGAAGTTTTGGGGTTTTTTTGTTTTTTGTTTTTTTGTTTTTTGAGACGGAGTTTCACTCTTGTTACCCAGGTTGGAGTGCAATGGCGCCATCTCAGCTCACTGCAACCTCTGCCTCCTGGGTTCAGGCAATTCTCCTGCCTCAGCCTCCTGAGTAGCTGGGATTACAGGCACGCGTGACCATGCCCAGCTAATTTATTTGTATTTTTAGTAGAGACGGGGTTTCACCATGTTGACCAGGATGGTCTCCATCTCTCGACCTCGTAATCCACTTGCCTCGGCCTCCCAAAGTGCTGGGATTACAGGCGTGAGCCACCATGCCCGGCCCTAGAGGAAGTTTTAAATATAAAGCACCCCTTCTTTCCATTCCATTTTCAAGAAACAAGAGCAAAGGATGAGTGTTGTCAACATTCAAAGAAGTGTCTTAGTGCAGGAATGGTCAATGTCTATGTTGAGTTATCTGAATCTATTTGGCAGCTTCTGAAAGCTACTGTACAAACCTGGACTCAATAAGAGGATGATGGTATAGTCTCACAGC